CTAAAGGACTAACACAACTTAAAATAATTGTACCTTGAGACAAATAAGGGCATTTTTGATATTGTGAAGATTAATTTTGGTGCATTCATTGTAATAGAGACATATGTACTCTATTTGGTGACACGTGTGTTCTCTTTTTATACTTAGCCAGCCATATATTATTTTATTAAAGTAATTTAATTTGTACTGTATAGTGGGGTCCATATTATTCTACTTGAGTCTTTATGATTTCCAAAGCAAACCACGTGTACCCCTATTCTCTTCATCTTCTTTCCAATGACCAAAATTTTGGTTTCACATTGCCCTGCTTCATTTTAGGTTTTCCAAATTTCTCCTCTGCTTCTCTCATTTCTTCAGTCTTTTCATGTTCACTTTCTTCTTCATTGACTCTTTCAAATTCAAGTTTCTTAATTGTATTTTGTGGTAAGTTTTTCTCGCTTTTTTCTTCCTTAATTTTTTTTTTGCTTCAATTTTTTTCTTGTGCAATTAGTGATTTTTTTAGAGAATATAAAGACATGAAGTTTACAGATGTGACCATTTTTATTTCCACTGATCCGTTTGTGGAAAGAAAAATTGGATGAAAATGACTATAAACAAAATAATATTTAACAACCATTCAAACAAGAAGTTGTTGATGAAGATGGAGATACTCTTGTTCAAATTTCGACAAACATTCATCATCTGAATCAAATTTTGGTATTTATTCTTTTAGATTATTGTTCTCTATTGTATTTTCTCTATAAATAATATATGAATGTCAATAGTATTTTCTGATTTATTCATGCATCTTCACGAATAAATACTCAAGTTTCCTTAGTGCACGGTGTTTGATAATATGCCTACATCGAGATGGATCTTTGATTTAGCACTAAAGGTTGGTCAAGCTGTCAACTAATAATTATTTTTCCGTTCCTCGCTTCTTAGTGAACTTTTTTTGTACTGTTGAAGGGAGAGAGGTAGAAAAGAGATATGCGATACAGAAATATCAAGACAAATAAATAAATGTCTTTTTTTCCTTTTCTTAGGTGAAGGAGGAAAGGAAAAAACATATGATTGTTATTTGTGGAATTTGAACCTTTCAATTCCAGGTAGAGTCTAAGTTATTCATAAAATGAATTGACCCTCAACTCCCTCTAATTCTATATAGAAGCAACATTACGTGCCTCATTATGAAAAGTCATTTTTTTTTCATTTTATCACAACTAAACTGGAAGGACCAGAGTCATTTTCTTGCTTCCTGGAATAAGAATACAAGAGGGGACTTGAATGTTTCTCATAATATCAAATAATTTAGAATAATTGAAGGATCTTCTGTAGATTTGGTAACAACATTTGATGTTGGACCTAATTAATGTGCAGAATGATAGTTAAGTTGTCCGTATGCGGTCATCATCAATTGTATTGGGTTATGAATGCTCACGAAATGAAATAATGCATTTATTGCAAATGATGTACCTTTACATTTGAGTTTTATACATGATCAATGTAAATATTTTTTTGCACTATCAGGTTAGCAGATTTACATTAACCTTCTTGATAAAATGTGCTACCCATATGTAAAAATTATTTAAGTTACGTTGACAATGTTTATTATTTATTAAACTCTATATTATATTGTGCTTTCTATTCTGGCTTTGAAATTTGGGGCTGAGAAAAAGGTTGGGATGTTCATTGTTCAACTAATTTGAGATATTAGACGATGCTATTGATGTAATGAAATTGGAAGATGGTGTAATTCAAAACATGGTAAAGTCTCTGATTTGTATTCACAAGTTGCAATCCTTGATTGTTTTTCATTGTATTGAGTTATTTTTCATAATATTGGCAATTTTGAAAAATCTACAATGATTTTAACTCCACTATATACATACTTGGTCACCTATGGAAGTAGTTTGAAAAGATAATTCAACAATTATTTGGAAACCATTCCTCATGTTGGGAACGAAAATGAGGTACAAGAAGCAATGTAAAGTGTACTTCAAACAGAACTTGAGTTGTACCAGTAGGGTTAAAATAGTAAATTTCCTTTATTCACTCTCTCACCTCTGCTTCTACTCTTTCTTCTCTGCCTGACAACATTGACAACCATTTTAAACCTTCAACGGAGTTAAACTTTACTTCAGAGTCTCACTATATACATCAAACAAGCTATTATTGACTGAAGTCTGGCCTAAAAATTTTGGTCCATGGTGGTATACTTTTTTGAAGAATGATAGCTATTGTTCCACGGTTGGTAATTGCTTGGAAACCTTGATTTGCTTTCACAAGATGATGTACCTTGAGGATATTTGTTTATGTTGTTGGAGCTGAACACAAATAGTTATGGAATCTATATGTATGTGCTCATGGGCTTTATCTTTTGAAAGCAATACTAGACTATAAATACAAATGACAGTTATATTAAATTTGAAAAACTATGTACAATTTAGAAATCAATACTTTAGTATAAGAATAAGCAATTTACATCGGTTGAACTTGGTTGACATGTTCTTTTACTTTATTCATTACACTTGCAATATTTCAATTATTCTGTCTGTTAGTACGTGTATCTACAGTTTTTTTTTTTGATAAGGATGTATCTACAGTTTATTTCCTTGCATTACAAATTGAATTGTGTATTTTTTTGTCATTGACAGCACAGTGATTACTTGTAACTGTTTTAGCTTGGTATGTAGCTGTTAATTTGTTGCAGTTTGTATGTTGCATTTTTCAGTATGCTCATTATTTTGCATTTGCACACCACTTAGGTAGTTTATATTCGTGTTATCTAACCTAATATCTGGAAATGCAGTCGAGCCTTTTTTGACAAAAGGATCTCCCAAGAGGTCAGCGGAGATGCCCTGGGTGAGGTAAGTTTCTGGTGCATATATTCTATAACTTTCTTGGTGGTACTTTATATGAGTTTATTCGAAAAATGTTGCTCTTATGACGGCAGGAGTTCAAGGGTTATGTGTTCAAGATCATGGGAGGATGTGACAAGCAAGGTTTCCCCATGAAGCAGGGAGTTCTAACTCCAGGCCGTGTTCGCCTTTTGCTGTACCGAGGTACTTGTGCTTGATATTCTCTTAAAGGTGGTGCCTATTTGCTGTGAATAACTTTTTGGTTTAACTATCTAATTCGTTTATATAAAATAGGTACTCCTTGTTTCCGGGGACATGGTAGGAGAAATGGTGAGCGCAGAAGGAAATCTGTCCGTGGATGCATTGTTAGCCCTGACCTCTCTGTTCTGAATCTTGTTATCGTGAAAAAGGGTGAGAATGATCTGCCTGGACTGACTGACACTGAGAAACCAAGGATGAGAGGACCCAAGAGAGCTTCAAAGATCAGAAAGCTCTTTAACCTTTCCAAGGAAGATGATGTCAGGAAGTATGTCAACACATACCGCAGAAATTTCACTACCAAAACTGGTGAGTTTTCTCCTTTATAGCTACTCATCATGTCCCTAGTCTGTTCTGTATTCAAATTATAGCAGTTTTGGACATGTTCTCAATGCTATTATGATGCGTTGTGCAACAGGGAAAAATGCGAGCAAAGCTCCCAAGATTCAGAGGCTCGTGACACCATTGACTCTGCAAAGAAAGAGGGCAAGAATTGCTGATAAGAAGAAGAGAATTGCCAAGGCCAAGTCAGAGGCAGCTGATTATCAGAAGCTTCTTGCTTCAAGGTTGAAGGAACAAAGAGAAAGGCGTAGCGAGAGTTTGGCTAAGAAGAGGTCTAGACTCTCTGCAGCTTCTAAGCCATCCATTGCCGCTTAGTTCACTGGAATGTTATTCCTGCTATTTTTGGGTCTGGTTTTAGTTATTGTTTGATGTAGTACTACATGGTTTTGGTAATTTTGAGCATTCCTGATAATTTGAGTCTGATAGTACTTTAAGATTGAAGTTTCTTTTGTTACTTGACAATCTTCTGTTTTTATGTTTTCCTTGTTCTGGCTACTTTGAAAAATTGTTTTCAGTCTATTTGAAAAATTGTTTTCAGTCTAGCTACATGACACAATGCTTTCACTCTTTTGATTCCTGTGACTTAACAATTCAGGATCACATTGCCTTACCTTCGTGGTATGGTTATGACTGACCTAAATTTCGTAGAACTGAAGAACGTTTCGAAGAAATTTAGGGGTTTCTTTTGTATTTTTACAGGAGGAAATATTTATTTGGACATGCACCTTTGTAAGAACTCTACTATTTGTTAATTTGAGAACTAAATAGTATTTTTAACCCCTAACTAATTCTTTTAATTGAAAAGCTTTTCGTCTTTAAGCTAATAGGCCCAATAGTAAGTAAGGTCACAACAGAAATAGTCCAGAATTTTTGCTACAACACCTGTGCATTTATTTTCAACCGTGTTCTTATGATGGTAACTATCATAATTCATATGGTATGATAATTGTCTCTTGAAATATTCCAACAAACATTTTTCTAGGAGAAGAATTGATAATTCTATCGTACCAGTTCTCCAACATATTATGGGAATTTGTACAGTCTAATGAAAATAGAGTTGAACCTGGTGCAGTGCAAATGCAATCACTAGATTTAAACAGGTAAATAGAGTTTAGGCCCAAGCTACTAGGTTCTGTAGAACTCGTAACCACTCCGCCCCCGATTGTTACCTAACTAGTGTAGTAACTCTTTCCTATGGACTAATTGGAAAAAGAGAACCATTATGCCATTCTCTAAAAATAGAAAGATCTCTCTACTCTTTCCTATGCTACCATATATCATATGATTCTACACCAAAGACTACTTTTTTTTCATGTAGTCAATGTTAAGAGGCGGAACTACAATCATCACCCTTCACCAAAAAATTATATTATATATAGATGGATCAAATATTACTTTTCATACATATATATCAAATCTTGCGCAACAACTAGTTGAGATCTCACAAATTGACAAGGCATGCATTCAACAAAGGATAATAGCATAAAAGAAAAGGTTGTGTTTTCGAAGACAGCTTAATCCCAGAGGAGAATGCTTGCTGTCAGCTTCTATTCTCTATTTCTATCCGAGTCTATCTTTCAGAGAGAACCTACCTTCAAACAAACTTATACTGTCAGATTGTCCCTCAAAATAAGCATCAATCCCCTGCATATATTCAAGATAAAAGCAGAATTCATAATCGTAATTTCAAGGAGGTAAAATGTAGCAAAGATGGACTAATTAATAGTATGAATAATGAAACTTTTTATTTTATTTTTGGAGAAATGTAAAACTTACATTGAGTGCTATATATTGATGTAGACCTTAAGGCAATTGTTACCCATGTCCTCTTGTTCTTGTTCAATCTTTCTTGCAGAATCCTCAGCAAGAGTACTGCAATTATGTAACTCGATTGACTCCAAACTACAAATTTCTCCAAAATCTATTGGAATTTCCTTAAGTTTTTTGCATTCCTTCAGAACAAGGCGTTTTAGATTTGGGAAGTTATCACTGCTAGCTTCCCAATGCTCAAGATTTATGTCGCAAAATAACAAAAACTCTAGGCTTTGGAATTTGTCTTCATCATTCAATCTCCATACATAACCATTGGCTGCACGATTTTTAAGTTTGAGCTCTTCAAGATTTGGCAACATAACAAGAGTTGATATATCTTTCCAAGGAAAATAATGCCAGCCAGCTAAAGTCAACCTCTTGAGTGATGTTGGTAAAGACCTGATGGAGATCAGTGGTTGCACAGACAAAGATAAATATTTGACACACTTCAATGCTTCGAGTTTTGTTAAGCTGGAAATATCAATAAGGTCATTGGCCCTATCCCCGGTTCTCAATATAGCTGTATTTTGGATGATCAATCTCTTTACATTGGGAATGTTAGAAAAGATTTCATTTGTACAACTGGACAACGAGAGATTAGAAAGTTCCTCTACATTTGGCATCCCTATCACGAGATGCTTATTTAGGATACTTTTTCTTCCAGGACTAGGTAAATAGCAGGCTTTCCTTATTTGTATACACCTCAAGTTCTTCATCATCCATATCTTCTCTGGTAAAGTTGTATAACAACGTTCTCTCCCATATATTAAAGTTTGCAAATTCTGAAGCTCTGCGATTGATGCAGGAGGATTGTCATAACATCGAATTTGGAGATATCTCAGATGACATAATCTTGTAATTACAAGTGGAAATGAACGAAAACATTTATATTCATCAAATACTGCCAATACCCTGAGAAGCTTGAAATGGGAGAAAGCTTCAAGGTTTACTCTGAACATAAAGTCAGGAAATAAGTAGATAGATCTGGCAACTGATGGTAACAGATCACAAAGATGAATAACTGAATAACCGTAATTTTTTTGAAAACTGAAATGCCTCTGTGTAGAAACAGTAGGGGCTATGTTAGTTGTCTCAATATACATAAACTTTGTCAGTTCAACTTCTGTCAAACAGAATTCACGCAGTAGATCATGCATTCCATATGCTTTTATCTCACCATTGAATCTCTTTTTTCTAACCATTATCAAATTCCTGCTGATAAGATCCTCTAGATAATCTTCTGCCACTTCAGCCAAGCTTTTATCACTTCCAGGCCTCCTTATAAAACCTTCTGCGATCCATAATTGAATCAATCTCCAAGTCTCAACATGATAGTCCTCTGGGAAACTACCCATAGAAAGAAAGCAAGGTTTGAGGTGATTAGGCAAGTGGTGATAACTCAAACTGAGCACTCCTAAGCATTATCTGGATGACTAGAAATGATTTCACCTAAGGTTTGGGCAACATCCATCCAACTTCCTAATGTCCTGGACACTTTAGAAAGATGTCCTGCAATCACTGAAATTGTTAAGGGTAGTCCTTGGCATTTTTCCGCTATTTTCTTTCCAATTTCTTCCAACTCAAGAGGATGACAACTATTTGGTCCAAACACCTTATCACAAAGTAACTTCCAACTGTTTTCTAAATTCAAGAGGTTCATCTCATGAGGGCTAATAGAATCTGCATACATTGCTACCGTTGTTTCCCTAGTAGTCAATAAGATTCGACTCCTATTGTTGTAATCAGGAAACATACGTCTTATGCTATCCCAAACATCCGTACTCCAAATATCATCAACAACAACAAGGTATCTTGGACCCTTTAGGCTTTTCTGCACCAGGTCGGCTAACTCATTGTCATCCTTAACATCATAATCTTTTTTTATGTCAATATTTGTATGCTTTGAAATGCAATGTAAAGCCTGTAACAACACATTTCTTCTTCCATATTCTTGAGATATTGTAATCCAAACATGAATGTCAAAATGATACCTGAGTTTTAGGTGATCATAAGCTTTTCTAGCGAGTGTTGTTTTGCCAATGCCACCCATGCCTGATATTGTGACAATGTCTAGATCCGACAACTGTCCTGTCAGTCTTTCAACTATTATCTCCAGGTCATCATCAAGTCCGTGCACGATATCATCTTCCAAATGTTGCAGCCTTGGGTTGCTAATCAAGGAATCCCCATCAGATTGAAGAATTTGATCATCATGAGTGCTTGTGGTAAACTCAGAAACAATCTCCATCACTTCATTCTTTTTTCTATCGAGTTTTTCAACAACGGATAGCAAATTCTTGTGTAGTGAACTTGTAGGCGTAATTCCAAATGCCAAGCTTAAGTCTTCGATGATTTGATAAATCGTCAGCTCAACAACATCTTCTGTATAGCTAGCAGAAGCTCTTATTTTTTCCTTCAAAGATTTGATTTTTTCTGGATCAAATCTACTCTTGCTAGCTTCTTCAACAACATTTAGAAAATATTCAGCAGTAACAAGAAGGGATTCGAGCGTTTTAACCATTTGACCTTGAATGAGGTCTGGATGGCTCTGCTGAAGTTGCTCCAGAGTTTGAAGAAGAGAAATTACAGCTGTATAAGCTTCCATCAAATTAGGACTCATATAAGCTGCCATCAAATTAGGACTCAATGTAAGCTTCTAAAGTTTCAATCCTGAAATATAGCAAATAGGAAAGGAAAATAGCAAGCAAACAACAGTATTTGTATTTAAATTTATGCGAAGGTTACAATCTTTATAAAATCTTTAAGAAAAGATATGTAATCCCCTGATTCTTCTCTTCAATGATGTTCTTGATTTGATGGAATACTTGCGACCCAACTTTTGGAGCGAAGACTTCTTTGTAATTGCGGCTCAGCACTTGGAGCGAAGACTTCTTTGTATGCGGAAGACTTGCAGATCACCACTGAAGAGCAAGGATTCTCTATGTATTTCTATGTGTCTTCTTCTTTTTTTTCCTTCTCCCTTTTGGTCTTATGAAGACCTCTTTATATAGGCTTGAACTAGGGTTTTAGGGGTATTTTTGTCCAAACAATTTTGGTCCTTGGGCTTTAAGAACATGAGTTGGGCTCGTCTTGTCAACTTAATGGACTGACCCAAATGTAATTTGAACTTTATTTAAGTCATAAAATTTGACTTAAATATTAATCCGACTTTATTAACCAGTAATTTGACTTGGTCAATATATCATGAATTTATGGATTAATCCAAAATTTAATATGAATTTATAAATAAAATTTCACTGTCTACAAATGCCCCCTGCTTCGAGGCTTTTTGCGGTGTCCAACTTGTCCAACCTTTAAAGACAAGGCTTGAAGCATTCGTGAAATATTTATTTTTTTATGGAGTCTTTCAAAACTTTCCATAATTGATTCCAATGGAAATTTTCCATAACTTGATTCCAATTGAATTTTCCTTAACTTGATTCCTATAAAAACTTACAATAATTTGGTTCCTAGGAAAATTTACCATAATTTTGTTTTAAATATGGTTTTTCCATAATTTGTAGGAACACAATTTATGTACTTCTGATTTCTATTAAAACACATGCTCTTACAATGATTGATTGTCAACTTGAGGCATACAAAACTCAATTTTCGTCACTTTTTTTCAGCACAGCACGCTTGCGGTAGAAAGTTCATAACTTGTTGTAGAAATATCGAAATCATGATCCGTTTGATGTTCCAGAAACTAGACTCAGAGGAAAACGACATATTCGAAATTCAAAATTCAAACCCTTCTGAATTGGTGGAAATTGATTTTTGAAGTTTGCTATCAAATCTGTCTTTTTCTTTTTATAGCTCTATGCAGTCCCACCAAAACATCTCTATCTTGGTGTAGGAGATTCCGAATGACGAGAGACTTGTTTCTATAGAAACTAGACATCAAAGTCTACAATATATCAAAAAATCAAGGTAAAACTCTTCATGGATTGACGAGAATAATTTTTTGAAGTTGGTCTTCAATTCTATCATTATTGTTTTGCAGATTCTGGAGTCTCACCAAAACGTTTGCATCTTGGTGTAGGAGAGCTCGAATGGAGAGCGACTTGATTCGATAGAAAATAGACTCTCAAGTCTACAACTTATCCAAAAATCAAAGTCAAAGTTCTTATGAATTCAACAAAATTGATATTTTTAAAGTTAGCGATCCAATTGACTTTGGACAACATCCATGAGTTCACTTCTCCGCATCTTCGCCGAAAAAGCCGCATATTGATTGAGAATTTTGTCATCATCTACATGGACAAAGAACAAGAATCTCTTAAGTCAATACAACCATATTCATCATGACGAACGTGAGAGCATATACCACAATTTTCACCATGCCGCTTTGAAGCTTCGTGCAATTGGCACCGTGAGACACATCTACTTTTTTTTGTAGGTTTACGATGGACCGAAGACAGCCTCAATATAACACCATAAAAATGAGGGGTAATCCATAATTGACGAGGAATCACTTGGTGCATCTTCGTTTGTAGTTGCGATTTTGACGACGAATCATACTTGTGTAATATTTTAGTAATTGTGGCTTTGGTGGAGATGTACCACACTTAGTGCGTCTTCTTTTGTAACTGCGGCTTTGATGACTTTTGCAATTGCGGCTTTAGCGACGAACCACACTTAGTATATCTTCTTTTACAATTGTGGCTTTGATAACGAATCATATGTGAATCGTTTTCTTTTAGAGTTGTGGCTTTGATGACGAACCTACACATGAAATATCTTTTTTTTGAGTTGCGGCTTCGACGACGAACCACACTTGATGTCTCTTCTTTTGTAGTTTCAACTTTGATGACGAACCACACTTGGTGCCTCTTCTTTTGCAATTGCGGCTTTAGCGACGAACCACACTTAGTATATCTTCTTTTACAATTGTGGCTTTGATAACGAATCATATGTGAATCGTTTTCTTTTAGAGTTGTGGCTTTGATGAAGAACCACACATAAAATATATTTTTTTTTTTGCAGTTGCGGCTTTGACGACGAACCACATTTGATGCCTCTTCTTTTGCAGTTGCGACTTTGACGACGAACCACACTTGATGTCTCTTATTTTGCAGTTGCGACTTTAGCGATGAACCACACTTAGTGCACCTTCTTCTACAATTGCGGCTTTGATGACGAACCACGCATGATGCATCTTCCTTTTCAATTGAGACTTTGACGATGAACCATATTACTGCATCTTCTTTTGCAGTTGTGTCTTTGATGATGAATCACATATGACGCATCTTCTTTTACAATTGCAGCTTTGACGAGAACAAAACTTAATGTGTCTTCCTCTAAATTGAAGCATAGTAATGAATCACACTTTGTACCTCTTTCTCTGTAGTTTTGGCCTTGGCGAGAAAGATATTTTGCCGCAGTTTGTCCTAGTTCTGAAGAGGAACTACTTGTCACATTATCAACTCATTAAATCAAACTTCAAAATATGCCCCCATGTTAAATATAGAGGCTCGCTTATGGATGCATCGATCCATAAAATATTTGAAGCAATAATGTTTGATGAAGAGGTGATGCGAACTTGATAAAGACATCCAAGACGAGTTGACAAACCACTTCTTGATGTTTGATTTTATTTTTTCTATTTAGACCTTTTGTATGGGATGATATGTCCATTTTTTTTATCCCTTCCTTATGATGTGTAAAAACTCTTGCAATTTTGAAGCAATAAAATGTATTTACTTTACACTTCAATGCAAAACATATGAGTTTTTTTTTCTTCTAATTTTCTATGCCACTTATTTCAAGGTTTTCAACCTATTTGATTTTTTGGACCATATAGATTTAAACTCATGAGGGCCAAAAGTAACAATTTGAAGATTTAACTCATTTTCATGGAGCTTTTCTGACTTGAAGACTTGGCTCGCATTTGATAAGCATCATGATTTGAAAACTTAGCTCAAATGTGAAGAGCTTCGAAACTTGAGACTTAGCACGAATTTGATGAGCTACATGACATGTATTTTAGGCTCATGCGTCGAGAAACATTTTGACTTGAAGATTTTTGCTCGAATTTGATGAGCTTTGAAACTTGAAGATTCAACAAAATTTGATGAACTTTATGACATACATTTTAGGCTCGTGCGTCGAGGAGCATTATGATTTGAAGATTTTTGCTCGAATTTGATGAGCTTTGAAACTTGAAGATTCAATAGAATTTGATGAACTTTATTACATGCATTTTAGGGTCGTGCGTCGAGGAGCATTTTGATTTGAAGATTTTGCTCGAATTTGATGAGCTTTGAAACTTGAAGATTCAACAAAATTTGATGAACTTTATGACATGCATTTTAGACTCATGCGTCGAAGAACATTTTGACTTGAAGATTTTACT